TTGGTGTCTAAAGTCTACACTATACATAACACAAATATATGGTTTTTGCTTTATTCAATGGTCAATTTATAAAGATTTCTGTAACCCACTTAAAAATTCTTCTTTCTCTTTTATTCATTTTTCAAAAGTAATTTTTATTTTTTAAATGTTTTCTCTTCTCCTAGTAACAAGTAAATAAGGAAGCTGAATTCTTTGAGGATGACGATAAATCTTTTTGGACATGTTGCATTTTAGGTGACAATGGAATTGACATGACACCGGCAGGAAGTTGGAGATGTGGGATTTAAACTTAGCAGCAAGGTCAGGACTGAAGTTATAAATCTGGTAGACATGTGTGTAAAGATGATAGTTTAAATTAGGATGATGAATGATATTGTCAAGTGAAAGAATGTAGACAGAGAATAAGAAAGTTTCAAGGACCCTATTTCTCACTTTAGAAGTATTACAAGGAAATGTAAAACAAACAAAAAAGAACTGAAGAAATAAGAAAATAATCTTTTTGATTCAATGAATTATTAAGGAATACAAACGAAGAGAGGTTATAACAGCGAATTCCAATTTGTTGGTTCCTTTCTAAATTTAGGAAAGAATGACACTTAACAGGTAGAATGTCAGACTCTACATAATACAGCAAAATCTACTTTGATGACTGAGACATAAAAAACGTTATAATGAGTTTAGGAATATTTAATTGAAATTTCCTCAGACCATACATATTTTGCAGTAAGAAAATCAAAATTTAAAAAATAAATCCAATATATTTTATTCCAAATAGTTGTTAAATTGAATATTTAATCAATTAGCTTAAGTATTCTTTGTTTAGTAGTAATTGCAGAGATATTTTTACCTCTTGTAGAACAGTATTAATTCAAATAAAAAATGACTATAACAGCTTTCTCTGCAGACCATCTTTTCACACATGAGGTTGGAAAAGCAAATTTTAGTACAAGCATTGATTTTATTGAGCAAAAAATGTACATATACCTGATACCTCTCTAAATGAATAATTCATTTTGTCATAGAATGAATAAAACTGAGATTGTTGGAATAGAACATTATTCCACCTTGCTCTCACATCTGGTTTTGAGGATTTGTTCCCTATAGCCTACTGTGTATGACAGGTTTTATCTCCTTTCTGTTTCTTACATTCACGCGAGTGCAATTTTATTCCCTAAACTTAAATAGGCCACATACTTACATGACGTTTTTATATAACAAAATTTTAAAATGACAACTTATATCTAGACCTCTGAAAAAACTATCAAAATTATTAAAATGTGACAGCTTTCCAGGAGTTGCTCTCAAATGTGTTAATTCAGAAACATACTTTAGGTATAATTAATCACTTTTGATTATGTTTAACTAGATGAATTTCTGTTACTGTAATAAAATCTGAGAGCTATATACCTGCATTTCTAGTCTCAAAAGGTTACATAAAAACAAATCGGGTTGTTTTAAGTGTAAAACAATCCCTTCGTTTCCCCTTCACACTCTACAAGTTTATTGTTTTGTTTTTAAAGATAGGTATACCATTCACTGATGACACCCCATACATTACAAAAGTAGAAACTGAGTCCTCAAAATAGTCATATGAAGAGAAGTATAATATAATTTCAGCCTATGTAATTTACAATTTTATCACATGCAAAAAAAGAGAGCTTTTTGCAGACAAGAAGACCACAAAGATTTTTGCCTGTGTATTACATTTAGAACATTATTTCATAAATATTGTTTCCCCAGGTAATGAACCGAATGAAATAATTGCCATATTATAATATGTTTTCCTTCTAACTGCTATGTGTTTTCAAGTTAAAAATTACCAAACAAATAGCATACCCCTCCTCTTTTCAAGATAACTCAATTCAGTAGTTGGTTGGGATTCATTCTCATTTCTCTCTATTGATGTACAATCAAGAGAATCACAACTGCCAAGAATAATAAACAGAATAATACTACTATTTACATGAGGAATTCTCAAAACAATTAATCCAAGAGTGCCACTCACATTTAATGCTCAAGGGTAATTGCCAAAAAAGTTAGCAGACACCTTGGGATGCTGACTGATTTCGTACTGGTTGTCCTTAACAGGACATCTATTAAAATATCAACCCAGGAAGTCGCATGATGTAGGATGCTTTAAGATATTTAGTTTCAATACTAATATCAAAAGCATGAATGTAAATAGTAGAGAACTAATTATTGCAAAATGCATATGTTTATTCGTTGCTATCATAGTATGTATTATTTTGTATTATATTCCTATTATTTTGTTAATTTAACTGAGATAAGGTTTTTTTTAAAGCAGTTTTTCTGGTTGATTAGTTTCATTTTTCCTTAAATTTTATTGGAACAATAATCAAAATTTAACTGAAATTTTAATAATAATGTTGGGCTTTCACAGATTTCTCAATGAAGAAAATATATTGATCATACAACTATGCAGATCAAGAAAATAAGATCAAAGAGGCCTGTCTTGTGTATCATTTCATTGTAATGAAGTCATTTCACTACTGAATGTACATGCTATGTTGGTTATTGACTCCAATCTCTGCTTCACTCATAAGCGTGTAGCAGACAGTTTGTTAGAAAATGCAGAAAAGGCAACAAACACACAGTTCTAAACTCTAAGCAGGTCACTACAGTTTATCTTAATGTTTTAGCACTTTTTGTCACCTCTTGCCAATATTCATTATGAAGCAATCACCTGTTTATAGAATATGTTATGGAAATGAACATCTCTTTCACATAAAGAAAGCCCACAGAATTTCTCCCCTGATTCTATTTTGCATAATTCCCTCTCAGCCTCAAACTAACTGACCCATTCCTATGGTACACATGCCCAATTTTATTATTTTGTGCAGTGAGAAATGGCTTGTAGTTTATAATCCAAGTATTATCAGAAGTTTTGGGAGTCTCATTTTTCAGTTTCTATCTATCTGAACATTTTCCGATCACCATTGCTTCCTTCTGGCACTGTATTATTTGAAGAATGTGAGGCAATTGCAATGGCTAAAAAATTAAATGGTATAAATATACCTTTCTCAAATGCTTTGAACAGGAAAGAGAGGAAAAACTCAGTATAGATAACTATACAACTTTGCCCTTTATGGTTTTCCTTTAGATTATTTGTTAAAAGGAAATTATTAATTTTTCATGTGCTCTGCAGAGCCTAGTCTTGGTTTATAAAATGAGAAGAAAAGAAAATATTAACTGCTTCATTGCCAAGGGACAGTCATTATCTGCCTGCAAGCGTTGGAAGAATTCTTAGTAGTTTCAGCACCCAAGTTCGAGGTCATGAGATCACAAGCTTTATTCTGTGCCTGCAGTTATCATGTGGAGAAGTGAGCACAATTATAGAACATTTGAGCAGCTAGCTTTGCTTAAATCTTTCTCTCCCTTTTTTTTAATATTAAACAAATTCTCTGATCTGCTGGATCATTTTACTCAGCCAATATGTCTGAACATCTGCCTTACAATTTTTAAGGTGATTATTTAAAATAGAAAATATCATTAAAAGTCATTCTAGTGTGGAATTTCTTTGAAGAAAGTGGATTAAAGAGTGGCAGAGATGTATAAATTGGGTAAGGAATTCAAGTCCTTGGAAAAGCGTGACTGCCTTTCTCACATTGAGGCGAATGTGAGTTTTAAGCAGCAATCCTGTCTGGTTTCCCTCCTAGAGCCGCTGAACAATTTCTTTCCATTGGTCACAGCACTTTCCTGAAAAGACTGTCTGCTACTAAAAGTTCTTAAGGAATGACGCCTTGCAAAAAAAAACCCCAAAAACCAAAACATAGAAATGGCACCCACCAGGGCAGATTTTGCAGGTCTCAATGACGACTTTGTCCGAAATTTGATCATAAAACCACACACCCAGGAAACCTGGGTCTTTCTCATACCATAAAGCCACCTTATTTTATCTTTTGTCATTGAACAAAACAAATTAAGATGAATTCTACTTGATATAAAGTCATATATCACAGTTAGATTATAAATGGATATCACTAAAAAATGCCCCGAATGCTTTGTGAACCTCCTGTAAACAAAATTATAAATGGGTATGACTATTTTCCCCTTCTCTCTCATCAGAAAACATAGAGTCCAGCAAAGCTAGTTCCCGGGGAATTGATTTTTATGTTTTACTTTTGTTTGCTAGCTCTTTTAGCCCTTAAAGCACGTGAGCATCTCTGGGCTTTCAAAAGTCAACATCTTCACAGGGGCCTTCTGCTCTCATGCAGCGTAAGGGAAAGAATATTTTGCACTCTGTCTTCTCAAGTTAATATGAGGAAGCACATGCAAGTTTGAAACTCCCTCAAGAGTCAAAATTTACTACTACCTGCATGGATTGCCTCATTTGACTTATTTGCTGTTAAGTGTATTCCAGTAGAAGAAGGATGGTGGTTTTAGACGCTGAAACCTACACTATTTCAACAGCAAAGACATTAATTTAAAAAATATAATAGTAACACACACGGAGAGAACAAAGAACCTAAATGAAAAAAGCGAGTATTTAAAGTCTTTCCTAAACTATTTTAGAATAAAGTGTTTATTTTATTCATTCTGCAATAAATTATATCCCTCTGGTAACAATTTTATTTGACTAAACCCCATTAATTGTTTGAATTATGGCATTGCTATTTGAATTCAATCAGGAAAATGTGTAGCAGAGTAATAAGCAAACTAAGTGATTTCATAAATCTTCAAGATTCTTTCTCTAAAAAAAATTTCTATTTTGCTTCAGAAATCTCTCATTGGTCAATGTTTTAAAGTGCACTGTATAATTAATAATCAACATTTCATACTAGTTTTGCTTAAGAAAAAGCATCTTTCAGTGACACACCAAACACATTTTTGAATTATAGGAATACAGAGGTATAAATCAAGACACCTTTCCATTTCCCTTCGCGTGAGGCACATCCAAGCAACCAGAGGAGAGACCTTGCCTTAAGAAGAGACTTGTTAACACACTGCTGATGTCTCAGGCAAATCAGAGGGTGAATTACCTTTGAGAGGTTCCCAGCCTCCAAGTAGAAGCAGATAACAAACACATTCCACGTAACCCAGAGGACTAGCCAGACAGCATACTGTAGAGAAACACGAGAGAAATCACACATAATTAATTTGGAGCCAGCTGAGTACAATTCAAATAGAACTTGAACTTTTGCACACCCAAATTATAAGATTAGTGGGAAATGTTAGATACTGCTTCTTTCTAAGGATCAGAATTAGATGCACGTTTAACTCTGTTGATTTTTTTCTCACTGTTATGGACATAATATTACAGCTCAAATTTGCTTAATGGCAATTTTTAGGCTTGAAGACAAAAGAAACTTCTGTTTTAAGAGTGAGTGATTAAGGTTTCTAGGCATCTAAAAGTATTAGATGTTCTAATATACAGGTCTAGTACAACCCCTCAAAAGAGAACTCAGAGTTTACTTAAGCAAAACCATCCCCCAAGTAGGACAATTTTCCCCAAGTTGTTGAGGTTCAAATTCAAACAGTCTTTCTGCCTCCCTCTCATCTAATTAGCTTCCTTTTTTTATCTTTTAAATATGTGGGGTACAATTCAGGGTCGGGTATACAAAGGTTCATTATGCAGGGACTCTTGTTGATGAGGTGTGCCCCCTCCCCTGGCAGTTTCCCACTACTGCCAATTCCACCCCCACCCTCACCTGGCAGTTTTCCACTACTGCCAATCTGTTTCTTGTAGTATTATGGTAGTTGCTCAAGGTCCACTTATGAGTGAGAACATGTGATATTTGGTTGTTACTGTGATAGATCATTCAGTATCATAGACTCTAAGTCCATCCATGTTGCTGTGAAAGTCATAATTTTGTCCTTGTTTATGGCTGTATAATATTCCATCATGTATACACACCACATTTTTTTTAATCCAGTCCTTTTTTGATGGGCAGCATAGTTGGTTCCAAGTTTTTGCCACTGTGAACAAAGTTGAAATAAACACGTGTGTGTAGGTATCTTTTACATACAATGATTTGAGTTCCTCTGGGTACATTCCCAGTAGGGGGGTTGCAGGGTGATTTTTAGATCTTTTAGGAATTGCCACACTGTTTTCCACAGAGGCTGGACTAGTTTACATTCCCACCAACAGTGTAGAAGTTTTCTCTTTCTCCCACATCATCTCCAGCACCCTTTTTTTTTTTTGAGTTATTGATCATGGCCATCCTGACTGGAGTTAGGTGGTACCACGGTGCGGTTTTAATTTGCATTTCATTGATGACTAGTGAGGCTGAGTATTTTTTCTTGTACCTGTTGGCTGCTCGTGTGTCTTCTTTTGAGAAGTGTCTATTCATGTCTTTTACCCACTTTGTAATGGGGCTGTTTGTTTTTTTCTTTTGGCAAGTTTGTGTTCCTTGTAGATCCTAGATGTCAGGCCTTTGTCAGATATACAGTTGGTAAAAAAATTTTCCCCCCAGTCTGTGGACTATATTCCAGCTCTCTCAATGGATTCTTTGGCTTTGCAGAAACCTGTCAGTTTGATGAGGTCCCTATCTTATCTCTTATGGCATGGGCACTTGGGGTTTTGATCCCAACCTTTCTATCTTTGGTGTCTCTTTTTCACTTCTCTCTTCACCTTCTTATTTTGCCCTCTCACTACTTCTTATTGCAGTAACCACCTAGCTATTATAGCTATTATTCCTAATTGTATTCTGTTGTCTATTTAGTGTATTATATTCAATGATGACAAATTTTCTTAGCAAGACAGAGTTCTGATCATTCAATGAGCTACAATGTATTAAGAACCTAGAAAGCAACATGCTAGAAAGGCACTGAGGATACAAGGACCAATGATAAATTCTTCATGAATTCAAGTCAAATGAGGGTGATGATTGACAGAGGGAGAGAGAGAGAGAGAGAGAGAGACAGAAAGAGAGAGAGAGAGAGAGGGAGAGAGAGAGAGAAGAGAGAGAGGATTATTACACAAGAATTAGTCTGAGCACAAAGAATAAAGTCATAAAGATGGAGGAGTTCATAAATTCCTGGGGAAAAGATCTTTAACAGAAAGGTTAAACCACCTTCCAGAAGAGGTGAGTCAAGCTATCTTATGGACTTAATCAAAGAAAAGTATGGGGGATTGGAAGGGTTATAATGGGAGGGTACTGTAAAAAAAAGGAAACAGCAAGTGTGAATTTTTAAGTGGAATAAGAGTGTAACTTGTCACTTCTCTGCGAAACAAACAGCAATGGTTTCTATCCTTTAGATGTATAGAGCTCCAAATTCCTTATGTTATGGTTCAAGAACCTCTATAATCTTGTACCATGTTATCTTTTGAACTACATGTTTCAGTTCATTTCTGGAGTCACCCTAGATTCCAGACACATCTATTACTTGCTGTTCCATGTTTAGGGACATATACTTCTTACTTCTGTAACCTTTTGTATATGATCCCTCTATCCTTTAATAATTTTTCTTTCCCCTAGGTATTCCTTTTATCACCTATCAATTTTTAATTTTTCTTCAAAGGTTAATTCAAATATCATCTCCTGAGTGATGCCTAATCAGAACTGGCTGAGCCCTACTTAGTATTGCAATAAACTCTGCTTGTCCTAAGTTCATTCCAGTGTCTTGTATCTAATTATTTGCATATTTTCTCCAAAGCGTAAAATTATAAACACCTTAAGAAAAGAGACTATTGAAAAAAATTGTTTATATCCTTAAGTTCCTAATTTAGTGCTTTGTACAAGATGGGTATTCAGATAATATTTTGTAAATCGTGGAATTAATGCATAGAAGTATGGGTGAAATCTTGTTATTTTGAATAATCAGAACAAGATGTAGAACCCATAACAAGATGGAGAACCCATTCTCCGCAGAGAGCTCGACATGATGAGTTTATAGAATATTAAATGATGACTATGCTTTTTTCCAAAGGTGACGAGTTCATCTGACTGCTGAATATGTTGCATTGCTTAGTGGAGTATAACGTGAGGACAAAATTAAATGGCACAAGACAAAAGAAAGGATTTGAAAGGCTCTGTGAGGCGAGGGCTGGGGACTGGGATCAGGGGACAGAATCACGAAGCCGAACAGGCTGCAGTAAGACAGAATCTCCAGCTAGAGAAGAGAGAATCCAAGCAGACATTTATGTTTGCTTGAGTCACTTGATTTAACTGACTACAAGAAAGAAAGAATGGCTGGCTATAACGTTTTATGATATTCTTTGTTCGTAGTGACACATTTTCCCACCTTATTTATATAGGAGAGCCAAATAAACACCATTTACTAAACACCAAAGTAGCAGGATAGTAAAATGTTTGGTAAATGTTGATGAACTGATGAAAGACACTGTATTACATATATCAAATAATTCTGAAGATTTGTCATCGGCAAGCATGCTTTCTGATATGGCATTAAAGAATATCAATGCTGAGTTTTTCTGTTTCACGGCTGAAATTATATTTTAAGTTCATTAAATACTAAAAATATTTATCCACATACATGTTGTATACAAGGCATAGTCACTACTTCACTATTATATTGAATATACAATCATTTGGAATCTTCATTCAGATTTAGACAACATTTACACTTAGTTACATTTATGTGTATGTATAAATGTAAATTATAATAGTTTAGTCAAAAAAATCAAGTTGAAAAATTTGTTTTAGTCATCAAAATGAAGAATTGTACAGAAGGAGAGGTAAGATAATGGGTCACGTATAATAAATAGCATATAGAAGTGAAGAACTTGGAACCTAATGTCACATTCTGTCACTCTTGGCTATAGTTCAAATCCTATGTCTACTATTTCACTAAACTTAAATGTAAAATAGGCTTATTAATAGTAATAAACTCACATGAGACTGGAAAGAGAGAATGCTTGATTGTATACAATACTTGAGTTCTCACTACATGTTACCATTCTATTATAATAACGATGTTACATCATCATCTCTTCTTGCTAAAATAACATAGAGCACCTATATTATAAAATAATGTAAATCCCCAAAGTTTGATTCCCTAGGAAATTAAAAAACATGAGCTTATTTTTTGGTCCATATCATTGAACACACAACCTAGACTTTTTTCCCTTCATCTAACATATCCCTAAAAGAAGAATTTTTCTGAGATACTAATGTCAATATTAATAGATGGACGGCATTTCATGAAACAAACCCTTCTTCACTGGGTTTCATTAAAACAATAACGTATTATTTCTGATTTAACACAACACATAACTCCAAAGCTTTTTCTATATCTTGTTTTATGAGCTGCTCTTTCACAGTATTATTGGAAATAATTTTGTACCCTTTCTTTTCCCACGTAATCAAGAAGGAGATGCACAGAAGGAGCATGGTAAATGGACCTATCATAGCTCAGCTTTTACTTGCATTATTTTCATTCTATTGTTTACTTCATTACAAAAGAGTTAGCCTCACAATGTACTATACTTCATTATAGATTTAACCAAGAGAATTATCACCATCAGTGGTGTGACTCCTTTAATAAACACAGAAAGCCACACTAGTGTTACAGATAATGACTGCTTGTGTGTCATTATTCAAAGACAGGGCTTAATCTCATTTAACTTTACTCGTTAATTTCATTTCGTTTATTTTTCTTACTCCACCTGTTTTCACTCTCCTATTTTCTTTGTATTATTCTATTTTACACTTTTTTTTTCCATTTTAGTAGCTAGAACTTATCTAAATCAAATATCCTCCTGTTGGATTTTACCTAGTTAACTAAATACTGATGAAGATTTAGGATTTTTGTAATTTGGTCTACGATTTCTGTCAATATAAACCCTGTTATTCACGCTGTTTTTAAATTACTCATTATATTTATTTAAGAGCATAAAGATCTGTACAAACTTCTTTCCAGTTGCTACAGCTAGTTGATGTGACATAATTGACAATTGCTCAGTTTGAGTATAATTGGAAAGGATGTGCCCAGGAGAGATAACCTAACAGAATAACAACGTATCACACTTGCTAGATATCACCAAACTTGTAGTTTTCTGCTATAAAACTAATCTTGCGTTAGCCTCATTTTTCTTGTCAAAAATAAAACATATTTTATGTTGCAGATAGAAGCTCAGAGATACTATCTGTGATGAGAG